CTAAGAGGCTTGATGATGTTATGAAATATGTACCTATGCACGACATGACATTCATATGCATATGCATGACACTATAAGTATTTCATAATGTACAGAGTTATCCAGACTTACAGGTTGAGTCATTTACTCCATGTTTCTTTTATGCCTTTTATATACTTATTATGTTCTTTATATACTCAGTACATTATTCGTACTGACGTCCCTTTTTCCTGGGGACGCTGCGTTTCATACCCGCAGGTCCCAATAGACAAGTCGATAGTCCTCCAAGTAGGCTATCAGCTCAGCGGAAGATGACCCTCATAATTGTCATTAAAGATGGGCTTATCCCAGGACCTAGTTCCCTAGGTGCAATTATAAATAGAGAGCTCAACAACCATTGTAGAGGACGCGAATTTTCTAACAAACTTATGCAATACACTGTTCAAAGCTTAATAATATTTTATCTCCTTGCTTATTAATATTGTTAGTGCTGCCTTCGGAAGCTCTGCTTCTGAAAACATGATTTCGACTGTCTTATCTTAATTTCAATGCTAAGTCTTACATTCTTGTTTAATTTATTTATCTTTCTCGGATCAAATCGATTCACTTGTCTATAAACCACGTATAAATTTAACTGTACCGTTTTACGGGTAAACACTGCCTTGGTCGGCCCAATTACGATATTGAAGGAAGGGGCTTGTTATTGAAAGATCGAAATTATGGCAACTACGAAAATCACAACACAAGTACCCATTTTTTTATTAATTTTATAAATTAATACGACTAGTGAATTTTGAATTAAAGAAAAAAGTTAAACAAAAAATTACTAACAGTATCATAATAGAAAAAGTTTTAGCATTGTAAAATCCATGGAATTAGTAATACCAAGGCTATTAATGCATGCATTAGTATGGTTAAAGATAAAATTGTCCTTAAAGCCCTTTAAAGCTAGAGAATATGGAGGGCATTTTTATAAACAACTATTTTTCTTAAAAATTATGCAATGCATTATAATTTTAATACACCACCAAACAGTAGATAAGAAATAATATCTGCATAACTAATGTTTGCATTACGTATGAGGTATAAGGAGGTATAGTGCTGGTATAAAAATTTAATACCACCTTAATATTTTGTTTGGTTAGCAAACCAGGTATAAGTTATCCCGGGATTAAAATTAACATCGGGATAATTTATACCTTATAGAGGGTGAGGTAATTAGCACTGATATAACTTATGCAGTCTTCTTACAAATTATGCAATTGTCATATTTAATACAACATACCAAACAATGGATAAAAAATAATCACAGCATAACTTATACCAGTACAACTTATCCCGACATAAGCCGTATTAAAACCAAACGCACCCAAAGTGTTATAGTCTGCTCAAATTCTTCATATCCATCTTAATGTTGTTGTTCATTTTTCATTTTTTCATTAGAAAATGAAGAACGAATTGCAAAGTGAATAATCAAACCACACGTTAAAAGTTCAGATAAATAATTAAATTGGTTAGCTTTGAAACGATGTCGTGTAGTATAGAAAACGAGTATATATTTGTACAGCTGGCGAAACATGTCAATATCAAACTATCAACATTGGCCACGATTAAATTTGATTGTATTAAATTATTACTGATATTGACGTAATCACAGAACAGCAACCAGAAATTACAGTTATTGCAGATAATAAAGAAGAAGCCCATCTACTTCATTCTATCTGTTGAACGTATCTTCAATCTGAATTTCATCAAATTTCTGTCTTAATTCAAAAGGGTAATTTTTTTTCTTCTTCTTTTTCTATACATGTCAGCTAATCCCATGTTAATTCATAGTATTCTGATTCTATTTTGTTCTCTAAAATTAATAGATCCATTTACAGTAATCATCCATGTTGAATNATATATGTGCCATTTTCTGATTTTTCCCTTTTAGCTAAGCTCACCAATATATTTTCCAGTATCAGTTAGAACCAAATTGACCTGAAATACAAGTATAAAGATTGTGTCTTTTGATATGTCATTTTCTGATTTCCTTTTTTAGCTAAGTTCTTTCAGATGTTTTCCAGTTTCAGTTTACTTAGAATCAAATTGACCTGAAATACAAGTATAATGATTGTGTCTTTAAATCTACAATTTTTTCTGATTTTTCCAGTTTAGCTAAGTTATCCAAGATATTTTTTCCAGTATCAGTTTACTTTTAGTCAAATTGACCTGAAATACAAGTTTAAATATTGTCTGATAGTTTTTTTTAATTTTTTTAAAAATATTATACATGGAGACTGTCCCTTCTTGTCTATATTTTCATTGATGTGGTGTTTATGCTTTACTGAGCCGAGGGTCTATTGCAAACAACATCTCTATCCTCACAAGTTAGGGGTAAGGTTTGCGTACACACTATCCTCTCCAAACCCCACAGTGCGGGATAATACTGAGCATGTTATTGTCGTAATATTATACAAAGGGAGTAGGGGAAGGGGAAATTGGGGGAGGGAATTACAAAGTGAAAGTTCAGGTAGCCAACCAACTGATCTATTAATATTACCCGAATATTTTGTCTTTATTTATGCCTTTTTTCTGATATTTTCCGTTTAGCTAAGCTCTCCAAGATATTGACCTGAATAGAGTGGATTGGATACAGAGGATTCATATAGCTGATTCCAACTAATTTGGGATTGAATCACAGTTGACTCATCAGTTAATTGATTGGGTTTAGTTGTTGCCCTTTGATGACTTTGTTGTATATTTAATTCTAGAAAAGATTGGGTTTTTAGTAGGTTTTTTCTGTTGAGTGGGCATTTCCGAGTTTAAATTCACTTAAGATGGCATAACTTGGATCTTGATCATCATCATTAATATCATAGCTAATGAAATCTGCAGTGGGTGAAAAGAAATCTTGGAATCATATCAATCAAGTTTAATTCTTTCTTGAGCTGAGAGTTTATTGGAAACGACCTCTCTATCGTCCTAGGGTAGGGGTAAAATCTGCGTACACACTACCCTCTACATACCCCACTTGTGGGATTCCACTGGGTTTGTTGTTGTTGTTGTTGTTGTTGTTGTTATCAATCAAGTTTAACTTTTCTAGTTATCACCAACTATCTAATCATGAAAACTGCAAGATATAATGGTGCACGAAGCTAGGGGCGGAAGGGGTGCATCTGAACCCTTTTCATCCGAAAATTACATTGTAACTGGATACAATATATTCTCCCCTTCCTTAATTTGCAACTAATTGGCAAGTTGGCATAAGCTGTTGAGTATTGGAATCTTTTGTGTTCTTTTTTTTGTGGGGGCTGGCATTAATTTGGAGGTGTTAGTTTGCTCTAATCAGGAATGTATCAGTGCTTGTAACTATTTGCTCATAGGGATTACAACAACAACAATAACCCAGTGAAATCCCACAAGTGGGGTCTGGGAAGGGTAGGATGTACTCAGCCTTACTCCTATCCTGGGAGGGCAGATTTGCTCATAGGGACTAAAGAATAGATAACTAGTTAAGAAGAAAACATACACCCTTTTAATATCTTTTTAATTATCATTTGGAGGACTTCGAAGAAAGTGAACTATTGCCGATTTCTGTTGTTACTCACATCTAGAAGTACAATCTTTTTTTCCTACTTATTAGGTTGACTCTACAAGAGCAAAGTTGTTTAATGCATATGAAAATCCAGCTATTGCTATTTGATAGCTAATTCTAAATTGCTCAAGAAGATAGAGTCGAAGATATTTAACGTAACTTCTTTCCTAGATATGTTTTGCTTCGGAGAGGGCATGTTCTCTTGCTTCGTTATTAGTGTGGGGAGGTATTGATGACAGGGGCAGATATACATGGGCTCAAGCAGTGTCACGTGACACCGCTTCGTCGAAATTTTTAGTATTTTTATATAAATGAAAATG